GACAGCAGACGGAGGTCATGCGCAGTGAGTTCGGCACGGTGGGGGACTTCATCCTGCACCACCGGTTCGGCTTCCCCTACCTCACCCGGCCAGAGGACGGCAAGAAGTACGTTGTTGTGCCCTCGTCTTCCGGAAGAAGAACTGACGACCACGGCGGTGGTGAGGGCGTTCCCCGCACGACCTCCGGAGGCTCCAAGCGCGTGGTGTGGGCCAAGAACGACTTCCCCTACGCCCTGGAAGCCGACATCAGCCACTTCCTCCTGTGGAGCCTCCAGCCTCTGCCACCCCAGCAGCTGGAGCAGCTCATCCAGCAGCACGTGGCCCCCGACGAGGAGTTTGTCTACTTTGTCAACCCGCCTGCGCTGCAGAGCGTCCAAAACGTCTTCCACGCGCACGTGCTCATACACCACGACCAGCGCGCACCCCCAAGGCCTCCTTCTTCTGCGTCGCAGAGCAGCAGCTCTTCCACGGCTGCCCCTGCACCACCACCACCAGAGCTGCCAAGTGCGTAAAGGCCAAAATAATCATTAATTCTGTCGCATTCCTTTCATTCCTGGCCGTTGCGTCCTCTCCCGCCAAAACCAAACGACCACGACTCCTTTGGCGCGCAACAGACGCAACCAACGCTGCGAACGCGCTGGCCCTTCTAATAGCTCCCTAAGTGTGAGAGGAAAGAAGATCGCGGATCCTCGATCAAGCCGCCGCGCAACGTTGAAGGAGGTGTTGGTGGATGTATGCGTGAGAACAGGCGGGAAGAAGAAATCGCAAACGCACACGAGAAGAAGAGAATAATTAACAAACCTCATCATGGATCCTGCTATCGAGAAAGATCCTAATCCTAACATGATTGTCGCCATGAGGTACACGCGAATCGCTCTTCCTCCTCTGTAAGAACTGGGGATCCTCTTCAGGTCACTCACTTGAGCTACTCCGTTGATGCGCATATCACCAGAGTACGGCCAGACAACGACAAAGAGAAGTACTGCTCCAAATCCAGGACGGTGGTGCGCGTGCTCGATGAGCGCGTCGTCATCTTCGATCCCGCCGACACGAGCACAGCCCACAGTAAAGGCGTACCCGACCATTTCCGGCGATCGCGCGATCAACGCTACATTTTTGACCGCGTATTCGATCAGTACAGCTCGCAGGCTGAAGTCTACGAACATACCGCCAAGGTACCACCAGCAGAGTCGTCTCGTTTGGCCGACAGAGCTATCTATTTATAGATTGGACCCCTGAGGTGGGGTTAATTTGAAAACTTGTTGGCCAATGTCAAATCCATCAACGCTTACCCCCGTGCGTGTTCATCTCTTCTTCACGTGCGCGTGAGTTTAGCATTTGATAGATGGCGTCATGACCGGTTTCAACGCCACGGTCTTCGCCTACGGAGCGACTGGATCTGGTAAAACGCACACCATGATCGGCAACACCAGCATGC